CGCACGAAACACTAAATGTTGTAAATGTCGAACCTTACCGAACGAAACACTAAGTGTTGTAAATGAACTTTTGAAACACTAAATGTTGTAAATGTTAAACCTTACCGAACGAAACACTAAGTGTTGTAAATGTCGAACTTTCCCGTACGAAACACTAAGTGTTGTAAATGTTAAACCTTCCCGTACGAAACACTAAGTGTTGTAAACGTCGAACTTTCCCGTAAGAAACACTAAATGTTCTAAATGTTGAACCTTCCCGTACGAAACACTAAATGTTGTAAATGTTAAACTTGATATTTCATTTAAAAAGACGGTCAAGTTGTCAAAGTTACTGATGAAAGAAAGTAACTATAATGTAGGTCAGCCACAATCTTGCAAAAACAAATTAACGAAACAAGGTACATGCAGACGAAAATGTCGTTTTAGTAACGCCCAGGTATTACTTTGCCCGATTTGAGAATAAACATTTTGGTAAAACAAATATGTTGAAATGCTAAATAAAGGAGAGTGTTGAGGTATTGATGGTCAACATAAGTGGTACAAATGAGCTTGGGTATATCTATTATGATATGATAGACCCCTTCTCATCAACGATAGAAAGTGAGTTGCCAGATTTGAGATTCCACATACAACACAGACCGAAGGTAGAGACTAGAGAGCAAACGATCACAGATTGTAACAGGAAGATCTAACCAGAGGTCTGCCATCGCTTATATAGATATAATTTGTTCCAGATCTCTTAAATTTCACTGGGAAGTTTAAGGTGGCAGAATGTTTTGCATCGGACAGTATGTATCTTAGCATAAATAACAGGTAAAAAGATGTACAAACAAAATAACGCAAAGCGTGACATTAACTTCATATATACTCCAGTAAAAAGATGTACAAACAAAATAACACAAAGCATAACATTAACTTCATATATACTCCAAGTTTACTGGAGTTGAGTTGAACGGTTTTGAAGTTATAGCCCGGGAAAACCTTCGGACAAACGCACGTGCGCACGCACACACGCACAGAGCCCAAATTGATATCCCCCGCAAAAGCGTTTCGTGGGGGATAATAAATCCGTTTAGTGTAGCCTCAAAATTTTATATTCCATTTAGGTCTATCACAAATGTGGGGATCTAAGCAGAAATTATCGTGATTCTAGGCACTGTGAAAAAAACCTGAATACTTGCGTGATTATACCAACTACAGACATCCCGTCATCATAGAAATCACCAGTCCGCCTGAGGAAGCTTAGCTATATGATAGGTAAAAAGCTATGTGTGATAGAGTGATGGAGAAGTGGAACTCTAAATAGCTTTTCTCTCCATTGCTACCGCGTCCATTAGCTTTCTCAATACCTGGTAATATAATACATATATGTCTGCCAACTGACCGTCACCCATAACGCTTTCCACGTGAAATGCATGTACCACGAACCAGCTGTTCTGTTTCCATTTGCCGTCTTTCAACACTCGATTTCGCTGTATCGTCCTCTGCCTTTTCATCAACGTCTTCACTTGCTGACATTTCTCTGTTGTTAAAACATTGCCTTTAGTGTCACGACTGTTGGTAAATGTTATGTAGTTGTACATGTCATTGATTTATCTTGATGTATTGTGTGACACACAAACCTGTTGTTGCTCAAACAAAGATATTTGTGTATTCATTTTACTATATGATTCATTATCATGTCATTGATGTTACCCAGTAATCTATCCAGGGTGAGGCATAATGAAATCACCCACAGTGTTTAATTACGTACATAAATTTCCACGAGTCTATTGTCCTGTGTAACTCACATTGTAGGAATAAAAGCCTCAGTTACTCATTTAAGTATTGAACTGCCGTCAGTTGGCAATCATCAGTGTATGAATGCCAACTGGGCAAAGGCATATTTATGTAGCCCATTAGCGCTTTGTCCAGTTGCATTCATAAGCTACTCTTTAAAATGATTTTTGTACACTCACCCCTCCATCTCTTATCTGAATTCGAATTTCCCGCATTGCGAACAATTTCGTTACAAAGGCCAAATGACGTGTGTGTGTTTTGTTATAGGAGTTTTAGAGTTTGGCCTATCGTATCAGGGCACCCAAAATCGTAACTGCTTCAAGTAAAACAAGCGCGTCGTTTAGGAACGTAATCCCATTAGGAGTTTTAATACCTTCGTAAAATATAAAAGTTAGATTTTTATTGACACGTTTTGTTAGCTTCATTACCGGAGATATGCCCTGGGCTCCCCAAACGAAAAAAAAGGGGGAAGTGAATACTGTTATAAATCAATTTAACAAACAACAAAGGCACGACTTGAGCTATAAATATATTCGTTTTCCTGTACTTATAACACTTGAATGCTCGCGAACAGGATGTACGAGGTGTGTGGTTTGGTATCACCAGGTTAGGCTCTTTGTGTATCACCTATTTCTGCCTGTATACCACCTGTCATACCTCAGTTACTACTCATATATCGTGATATCGTGCCTGTTTTCTTTTATTTCTTCCTTTTTTTAAAGACTGTTCCGCATTGTTTCAATTAAATTCTTACATCATTTTATTTCTTGTTACTACATGTAAATAACCCTCCTTATTTCATTTAATATAATGCCGAGATATTTCCCTGATCTATTCTTTATTTTCTCTGGTCGTATTAAGCATTCCATTTTCCTATCCCTATGCTATCCCGTATGCATATTCTTCCTTACCCCAATCCCGTAGCCCCTTTTTTTGCGTACAATGTAGCGGGTGTAGAAAACAAGAGTCTGATTGAACTAAACTATTCTCATCACCGTGATCCTATAACGTCGAATTGAAACTGCGTGCATTTTTGTCCTTGTGTCTTCTTCCTTTGTACGTGTGTTATGTTATTGTCTACATAGATGTTAGTTTCGTTCCTTCAGTGTCTCGTTATCTCAGTGTCTCGTTCCTTCAGTGTCTCGTTCCCTCAGTGTCTCGTACATTCAGTGTCTCGTTCCTTCATTGTATCGTTACCTCAATGTATCGTTCCCTCATTGTTTCGTTACCTCAGTGTCTCGTTCCCTCAGTGTTTCGTCACCTCAGTGTCTCGTTCCCTTGTTCCCTCAGTGTCTCGTTCACTCAGTATTTCGTTACCTTAGTGTCTCGTTCCCTCAGTGTCTCGTTTTCTCAGAGTCTCGTTCACTCAGTGTCTCGTTCCCCCATTGTCTCGTTACCTCAGTGTCTCGTTCCCTCATTGTCTCATTACCTCAATGTATCGTTCCCTCAGTGTCTCGTTACCTCAGTGTCTCGTTACCTCATTGTCTCGTAACCTCAGTGTCTCGTTCCCTCATTGTCTCCTTCCCTCAATGTATCGTTCCATCAGTGTCTCGGTCCCTCTGTGTTTCGTTACCTCATTGTCTCGTTACCTCAATGTATCGTTCCCTCAGTGTCTCGTTCCCTCAGTATCTCGTTCCCTCAGTGTTTCGTTACCTCAGTGTCTCGTTCCCTCGTTCCCTCAGTGTCTCGTTCCCTCGTTCCGTCAGTGTCTCGTTCCCTCGTTCCCTCAGTGTCTCATTCCCTATACGTGCTTAGTCCACTATAAATGTTTTTTCATAGTACATTTTTCATTCCATTTACGTGTGTTATTCAATGTGTCATGTATGAGTGCCATTCATAGTGTCATGTACTGTGGGTCCTTGATTGTGTCATGTACGTGTGTCATTCATTGCGTCATGAACGTGTTTCATTCATTGTGTCATATACATGTGTCATTCATTGTGTCATGTACGTGTGTCATCCATTGTGTCAAGTAAGTTCGTTATTCATTGTGTCATATACGTGTGTCATTCATTGTGTCAAGTTAGTTCGTTATTCATTGTGTCATATACTTGTTTCATTCAATGCGTCAAGTAAATTCGTTATTCTTTGTGTCATGTATGTGTGTTATTCACGTCTTCACTCAGATCACGAGTCCTGAATTTCATCTCTATTCTACATTGTACGACCCCTATAACTAACGTTGTAACTTTTATACTACAGCAGACATATACACTAAGGGGTTCGTTTATACGATGCTGCAGTTTGCATCAAAATGGTCTCATGCCGATAGCTGGAAGTCTTTGAACGGAGGAACAGAACAAGTAAGATCCACGTGGCAACCATTGAGAGAATTCAATGGTTATGCTGCTAACCATCTGGTATTTACGAGAACTGTTCAGGCTTTCAGATCAAAGGGATCAGCAATGTCGGAAAGGTCTAAATTAGTTACTATAAAACAGGTATACACAATTACATATTAATCTTTACGACCCTGAATAAAACTATCTCTGTTTTTATAAACTACTAGAATCAGTGAGGAAGTTACAATTATGTTTACTACTGAAGGGTAACAATCACTTCTGCACTTTTTACAGACGGTAACGACGGAGCGTTTTAACAAACAAGAGAGAAGATACAGGCTTTCTGTGTGTAAGCATTGGCATATACCTAACGTGTAGTTAGTATATGTGATGAAGAAAGGGATTGGGTTCTTGTGAGGTCAAACTAAAACGTAATTTTCAGTTATTTTGTGACCATTAAATGTAAAGGGTCATCAGGTGTACTTACAAAAGAAGTAAAATTATTTGGTAAAAAAATCCAAGGAAACTAGAATTCGTTGTATTTATGATAAAAATACAGATAGAAAGGAATTAGATCAAGTGATGAATATTTGGTATTTTGGTGTTTTGCTTCAGAACTAACAGCAAGGATATAAGATTTAACGAACAATGCGAGTATGACGCGCAGAATTACGAGACATAACAAACAACAGGGGACTAAGTAAAGGACGAGACACCGATAACTGTGTTGTGGGTCTCTGTTTTATAAAGGACGAGACACTGATAACTGTGTTGTGGGTCTCTGTTTTATAAAGGACGAGACACTGATAACTGTGTTGTGGGTCTCTGTTTTATAAATGACGAGACACTGATAACTGTGTTGTGGGTCTCTGTTTTATAAAGGACGAGACACTGATAACTGTGTTGTGGGTCTCTGTTTTATAAAGGACGAGACACTGATAACGGTATCGTGGGATTTTGTTTTATAAAGAATGAAATATTTATAAACAGGTCCTGTCGGCCTCCGTTTTACTATTACTAACTTGCTATATCACTTGATAGCTGTCCACTTAGAAAAATAGTTTCGAATAATTGTCTGAACTAAACGTAGAAGACAATAAGTGTCTGCGACCAAAGCAAGAATAGAGAACCCAATTACTGGCACGGCTTGGTCCGTCTCTTTGTCTGACTTCTCTTAGACAAATAAATAGGCTTCATTGAGCAAGATCCCAGCACAGCTCTGACGTCACACATCTGAAAAAAGAAAAAGAATAATTTTTCAAACGATAGTACTGATATCATGGAATGTTCGCCAATCATGTTTTGGTGGAATTAAATGGTGGAGTTATATTTCGATTTCGTGTAAAATCCGAGACAATCCCAAATAAGATGATGTCATAATGTGTTTATTGTACGAAGATGAAATGTATCCCCTTCAATGTACATGGTGAACACCGTCAAGTCTGATTCTGAATATCGTCAAATCCCGTCATTTCACACTGGTAAAATTGTCAAATATCCGTCATTTCACACTTGTAACATCGTCAAATCCCGTCATTTCACACTGGTAACATCGTCAAATTCCCTTCACTACACATTGCTCAAGTCAAGTTCTCTTTACCACACACGGTGTACAAAGTCAAGTTCCCTTCTCTACACACGGTATACAACGTCAAGTGCCCATCTTTACACGGAGTGTACAACGTCAGTTTTAACTAGACTATTCATTTCACTACACACGGTGTACGACGTCAACGTCCCCTTCTCTACACACGGTGTACAACGTCCAACTTCCCCTTCTCTACACACGGTGTACAACGTCCAACTTCCCCTTCTCTACACACGGTGTACAATGTCCAACTTCCCCTTCTCTACACACGGTGTACAATGTCCAACTTCCCCTTCTCTACACACGGTGTACAACGTCCAACTTCCCCTTCTCTACACACGGTGTACAACGTCCAACTTCCCCTTCTCTACACACGGTGTACAAAGTCAAGTTCCCTTCTCTACACACGGTATACAACGTCAAGTGCCCTTCTTTACACGGAGTGTACAACGTCAGTTTTAACTAGACTATTCATTTCACTACACACGGTGTACAATGTCCAACTTCCCCTTCTCTACACACGGTGTACAATGTCCAACTTCCCCTTCTCTACACACGGTGTACAACGTCCAACTTCCCCTTCTCTACACACGGTGTACAACGTCAAGTCCCCTTCTCTACACACGGTGTACGACGTCAACGTCCCCTTCTCTACACACGGTGTACGACGTCAACGTCCCCTTCTCTACACACGGTGTACGACGTCAACGTCCCCTTCTCTACACACGGTGTACAACGTCCAACTTCCCCTTCACTACACACGGTGTACAATGTCAAAATAAACGTGTCCTAATATTAAACATTACATTTACGTAAGATATAAGTTGTCCAGTGCTTGTCTATCAGTTGTACCTTTGCTAAGCCATGATGTTAAGCTATGGTTAAAACAAACGGCTATGTAGAAAGACCAGCGAAGTGATCAACAAATCTTCAAATGGACCAAATCAGTAACTAGACTATTTGCCCTGGCTCTAATTTCAATTTCTAGTCAAGAAGCTCTGTTCTCGTGATGTGATCTGTCGATATATCCGAAGTCTTCCCCACAAATCTACCGTTGATGACGTTTGATTGGCTGTAATGTCCAGGCTTAGTGGCATGGTCGTTCTCACTAAGAGGTGGACATTAAGTATAGCACATTAACCGTCAAAATCGCATTTGCGCGTGCATGCAATTGCAGAGGTGGAGTTCCACACACTAAGTATACTAAACAGACACAGGAAGAAGAACATTCAGTGATGTTGTTTTTAATTCGCTGGAGACTAATTCGAAATATTTGGCTAAGTTATATACAAAAGATAAAACCATTTGTAGAGCAGGTTCTGAAAGAACTAAAATGACCACATTTTGATAAATCCATAGTTAGCGTGTTCTTTGACCATCGATTTGAATGCCGATGTGTATGAACCCATATAGAGATTATATAGGATTTGTAAGGTGGCATTGTTAGCAGTTTTAGGACATGTGACAAGCAAACAGTTCCCCGAAGAGTTGGACAAACAAGCTCCAGGGGGCGTATCGATCGCTTGATCACGAGAAAACGTTTCGGATGCCGATTACCGGTATGAACATGTAAAAGGCCATATGGCCAGTCTGACCACACAACAGCACGTGTAGAGCAGGTCCTTGACATTCGTTTAATCAAACTTATATGAAGAGACCCGAGGACCTATTGCTCTGCAGTTTAATGGAATGCACATGAAACGTGCGCGTATATAACTTATGTCAAACATGCAGTGACGAGCGCACGTGTGCTTTTTGCTTCGGGAGAACTATGCCAAGCATATGCTAATTATTAATATTGCCTATTTCACATACAATTGCCGAAGACGTGTATAGCGATATCACCAGCTAACAAGGTCAGTACGTTACCGAACCTGTCAAAGTCATTAATGGAAAATAAATCCCACAGCATCATTATTGTACTTGATTGTACACGTGTGAAAAAAAAAACATATTAAATATTACTATCTAAAGGTGTACAGTCTTCTCAGAGTGGGGAGTAGATTAGAGTTACCTCCCTTCCTTTGTTGTCAGCCATTGTCTCAGATGACATAGGCGTTGGCTCCTTCACAATAACAGTCTTGACATCAAATATGTTCGTGCTGTGATGGGTTAGACACGCTACAGCTTGAACCTCCCCTGACACATGTACCGTTAACCTCAAGGGACCCGTGACCCTTAAAGTTCATCACACACCTATAATTGAATACAGGGTATGAAGACATTGTGCCAAGTGAAATGCCTTAAGAGTCTGGCGAATACGTCAGCAGAGTAACTCACCTCACTAATTACCTATTAATACTGAGTAACCAATGGCTTGGGTCGAAAGGACCTTACGGCCTTTAATCCTCGGGTCATCATCACAACTTAATTACATTGTACCTTGTAGCATATGCCCGTAAAAAAATATACACGACTTGTGATGAACTATACATCGAGTAAGTTTTTATTTAGTACACCCTAGTGTAGAATAGATGACATTTTCTATGGATAAATGACTGTTTTGTATGGTAGTGTCACAAGGTAATGCCAGAATGGATGACCAACACCGTGTTTTACAATGATTGTTTTTGTCAAAAAGTCCACCTTTATTCTCTTTCATAAAAGTCCATGAAATAAAAAAAAAAATAAAATAAACAGACGACATGTAAATGCGTGACATCAAACATGGCGACACATCTAAACCTCTATCAGAAAATAAGAACTGATTTTCCGGCATGAACTAGACCTGAGGAAAGGCCTCTTCCTTCCGAAGTTAACATGGTGTTTTGGTGTTTTTTTACTAGGTTAAGAACAGTAATACCAGGGTAAGTTCCACGTGGTTCTGACAGATGACGACCATTTGTGACAACACGCTCGGGGTTATTGTCATTTTACGATACGCGTTGAGAAATGTTGATGCGATATTTCTATATAACATACCATGTCATTACAGTAACGAGTTCTCTAACAAATTCATCACAAACAGTCATCATTACCAGAATGAACAGCATGCATGGAAGTTGATACTGTGATAAAGGGATTTGTGTCCCGTTCGAGTGGAATCCATGTATCTTGTTGATGTGACCGCTAACATCCCTGCTTGATCAATAAGAATTCTTAAGCACATTGATGCATTGGACTCCAGTTTTCATAAGCTTCTCCTTACCATGTCGCGCACCGCTGTAATAATAGCCTAATAAAAACCTATCACATTGCATAGAACAAATCGGAGACATGCAACGCATGTGCACGATCAAACGGCGTTAAATTATGATCGAGGACGCAATCAGAACCTGGCATTTGTGGATTAATGTTGTTTAAGAAGATGACAAAAATGAAAAGCTATTAGCGATAAGGACAAGGAAACGGATAACAGATGGTGAGGGTACAGCCGAGGACCTCGTGATTGCTGTATATAGAAGGCTCTTGCAGCGTTGTGACAGCCAGACTACAGACCGATAAGAAAGTGAGGACACGTAGCGTACTTGTGGAAGTGATGAGGGACTGTCATCCTATGGTTTCATTTTATCTCTAGGGATGTAAACAGAACCAGATGAATCCTACTTTGACGTATCTCTTCATCAATTCATTCCACAAGTGCCGAACGGCGAAAATGCTAGCCTTTCTGTTTTTCATATCTTTTTGCAGAAAGGATTATGTATTGGTTGAGCAGCATCAATGTCAGGTGTCGAAACAAGTCTTCTGTTAATGCTAAAACCAGCAATGTTATAACATTGTGTAAAAGCTATACGAATTTAACTAGTGTCTTACCCTGTCCATATATAACTAGTGTCTTACCCTGTCCATATATAACTAGTGTCTTACACTGTACAGATATCACTAGTGTCTTACCCTGTCCATATATAACTAGTGTCTTACCCTGTCCATATATAACTAGTGTCTTACCCTGTCCATATATAACTAGTGTCTTACCCTGTCCATATATAACTAGTGTCTTACCCTGTCCATATATAACTAGTGTCTTACCCTGTCCATATATAACTAGTGTCTTACCCTGTCTATATATAACTAGTGTCTTACCCTGTCCATATATAACTAGTGTCTTACCATGTCTATATATAACTAGTGTCTTACACTGTACAGATATCACTAGTGTCTTACACTGTACATATATCACAAGTGTCTTACACTGTCCATATATAACTAGTGTCTCACACTGTACAGATATCACAAGTGTCTTCACTGTACATATATCACTAGTGTCTTACACTGTACAGATATCACTAGTGTCTTACACTGTACAGATATCACTAGTGCCTTCACTGTACAGATATCACTAGTGTCTTACACTGTACAGATATCACAAGTGTCTTACACTTTAAAGATATCAATAGTGTTTTACACTGTTCAGATATCACTTGTGTCTTACACTGTACAGATATCACTAGTGTCTTACACTGTACAGATAGCACGGGTGTCTTACACTGTACAGATAGCACGGGTGTCTTACACTGTACAGATAGCACGGGTGTCTTACACTGTACAGATATCATTAGTATCTTACACTGTACAGATATCAATAATGTCTTCACTGTACAGATACCACAAGTGTCTTACACTGTACATATATCACTTGTGTCTTAAACTGTACAGATATCACTAGTGTCTTACACTGTACAGATAGCACGGGTGTCTTACACTG